CAGGGTGGTGAGCACGGCGACTTAGGCGTTCTGTGTATTGCCTGTGACCTGGGACCTCATCGGATTCCCTTCTTAGTTCCGGTGGCCTTTTTTGTAGAATCCTTAGGGTTTTCTGCACAGACGAACGTGTCTTCTGTGACACAGCAGTTTTACTTTGTTTTCGGTCTTCGTGCTTCTTATCTCTTTCTCCCCATCACGGCATTATAAACGTGTGATTTCACGGAATGTTGTAAACCGGTCAATGGCTGGGAGAGTCCGAGGGTGTGCGTGCCTGCCGTGGCCCCCGTGGCTGTGGCCGTCTCCCTCTGCACGTACACGGGTGGGTTTCTTTTACAGCTGCTTTATCAGGCTGGACAAGCTCCTTTTTTTTCCCTAGTTTTCTTAGGGTGTTTATAATTAATGAGTGTTGAATTTTGTCAAATGCTTTTTCTGCATAACTTATTGAGTTGATTTTCTCCTTTTAAAACTTTTTCTGTTAATATGAAATTATATCAGCGGACTTGTGGATGTTGGCCAAGTGTGCCTTCCTTGGGTGAGCTCCAGTTGGTCATGACACACCGTCCCTTTTGTGTGTTGCTGGATTCCACTTTCACCCTTTCTGTTAAGAATTTTTGCTACTCTGTCTGCAGGTGGCGTGCAGTGTCCTTTCCTTTAGACTCTGTGCTTAGGTTTTGGTGTCGGGACAAGGCTGGCCTCGTGGAGGGTCTGTGTTCCCTCCTCTCTGTTCTGGAGACTTTGTATGGTATCCGTCTTCTTTAAATATTTGATAGTGAAGCCAGCTGTACCTGGTATTTGTGAGAATATTTTTAAGAACAAATTTAATTCTTTTAATAGATAGAACTATTTAGGTTTTCTATTTCTTCTTGAGTCAGTTTTTTTTTTTTTAAAGATTTTATTTTTTTCCTTTTTCTCCCCAAAGGCCCCCGGTACATAGTTGTATATTCTTTGTTGTGGGTCCTTCTAGTTGTGGCATGTGGGACGCCGCCTCAGCGTGGTTTGATGAGCAGTGCCATGTCTGCGCCCAGGATTCGAACCAACGAAACCCTGGGCTGCCTGCAGCAGAGCGCACGAACTTAACCACTCGGCCACGGGGCCAGCCCCAAGTCAGTTTTGATAATTCGTGTCTTTCCAGAAATTTTTCTATTTCATCGTAGTTGTCACATTTATTGACTTAATCTGATCCATGATGTTTCCATATCTGCCTTTTCGTGTTGGGTCTGGAGCCACGTCCTTCTTTTATTCTTGATATTGGTAATTTGTGGGTTTTGCCTCGCCTTGTCTAGATCTGTGTGGTTTTTGGATCCTTTCAGGGAATCCTTTTGCTTTCATTGACTGTTTCGGTGCCTGGCCTGTCTCACGGTTTGTTAATCACTGAACTTACTACCCTCTCTCTGTTGTCTGTGTCCTTCAGTTCCTGAGTGTTTAGTTCGCTGGCTTCTTAGGTAGACCTTTAGGACACGGGTTTTCTTCCTTCCTCTTTTCTGACCTGAGAGTCTGAAGCTGTCCTCTCCTTGGAGCACTGCTCCAGCTGCGCCCACGGCATGTTTCCTGGTGTCCTCCTCATCCTCTGGTTTGCTCTTGCGTAGGTGGAAGGGGTGATCTGGAGCAGTCGCCTCGTCAGAGCAGTGGGGAAAGGCTGTGTACCAGTCAGCTTCTGTGATGGGCAGCAGGGAGGTGGCCGTCTCCAGTGCTCCTGTGGCCCTGGCCACCTCACCCTGACGGCTGGTTCTCCTCCATTTTCCTGCCATCATGTTGTGGGTGTGTGGTTGGCATCCTCTTGTTTGCAGAGTGCCTTGGCAGAGTGGTGCCAGGTGGTTAAGGAGGCCTCGTTCACTGTGACCCTGCTGCGCTGTTCCCCAGGGTCACAGAGAGGGCTCTGACACGTCACGGGACAGGCAGCAGGCTGATGGTTGTCTCGGGACACCAGAGGCTCCGCAGAGCCGTGACACAAGAACGAGAGTGCTGTGTGGCTCCTTCTTGCCACGTGGAGTCCGGAGTGGAGAGGGCACTGGGAGCAGAGGCCAGTGTGGGCAGTGGTGTGCCTAGCCCCTCCCAGGGGAGGTGGCCTCAGGCATGTGCTGGGTCCAGTTGCCATCACTCCGTCTGCATCCTGACCATCCAGGCGGCTGCTTCCAGCTGTCGGAAGCCCTGGGCGTGGCTGTCTGTACCCATCTGTAGCTACCGAGGACAGTGGGGCAAAGGCACTGAGTGGGGATGTGTCAGGCATGTTCGAGGACAGCGGGGAGGCCGTGTGACGGAGTGGAGTGAGCCTGGGCCACCGTTGGGAGGTGAGGTGGGAGATGCAGAAGGGGCCGATTGGGAGGCCTGGAGCGCCCTTGGACGGACTCTGGCTTTGAGCAGAGGGACCCGTGGAGTCATTGGAGAGCCTGGGGTTTGCAGTGTCATGCTCTGGCCTTTCCTTTAACCGGCTTGCTCCAGCTGTGGGGCACCTTCAGGTGATGCAGCCTCAAGTGGGGGGCGGCGAGGAGGCCTGGTCACCGCCCTGGTGAGAGGTGGGGGGTGAGCGGGAGCTGGGGGTCAGAGTCACACCAGCTTTGGATTAGCTTCCCAATGTCACAGCGGTTGTCTGCTGACGGGATGTGCCAGTGGGCTGGCCTGAAGAAGGAGAGGACAAAGATGGACGCCCTGGGCTTTTGGCTCGAGGGCTGGATGGACTGATGGCGTTGCTGTGAGCTGAGCTGGGGAGGGCGAGGAGTCGGCTTGGGCACAGGAGTTTGAGATGCCCGCTGGCGTCCAGGTGGAGACGTCAGGCTGTTGGACAGACCATTCTGGAGTTCAGGCCTAGGGGGTATGTGACTGGGGGCTGGTGGCACACAGGGGGATTTAGCACACAAGGCTGGGTGAGACCACCGAAGAGGTGAGCGAGAGGGCGGTTGGCGGTGCAGGGTCTGAGCTCCGGCTCGGGCAGGTGGTCAGAGAGGCGAGGGCAGCAAGGCCTCTTGAGCAGATGGCTCTGAGCTGGGGGCACCGGGAGGGCAGACTGCAAGCCACAGGAGGGAGGGAGGTGTGGGAGCCACGGGGAGAGGGAGGGAGGGGCGGGGGGCCACGAGGGGGAGGTATGGGGGCCACAGGCGGGAAGGAGGTGTGGGGGCCATAGGGAGAGGGAGGGAGGTGTGGGGGCCACAGGAGGGAGGGAGGTGCGGGGCCATAGGGGGGAAGGAGGTGGGGGGCCATGGGGGGAGGGAGGGAGGTGCAGGGGGCCATGGGGAGAGGGAGGGAGGTGCAGGGGGCCATGGGGGGAGCTATGGGGACCACAGGTGGGAAGGACATGTAGGGGCCACAGGCGGGAAGGAGGTGCGGGGCCATGGGGAGAGGGAGGGAGGTGCAGGGGGCCACGGGGGGAGCTATGGGGACCACAGGTGGGAAGGAGGTGTGGGGGCCACAGGTGGGAAGGAGGTGCGGGGGCCATAGGGAGAGGGAGGGAGGTGCGGGGGCCACGGGGGGAGGTGTAGGGACCATGGGGGGAGGTGTGAGGGTCATTGGGGGGAGGTGGGGGACCACAGGGGGGCGTGGGGGCCATGAGGGGAGGTGTGGAGGCCACAAGAAGGAAGGGGGTGCGGGGGCCACAGGAGGGAAGGGAGTGCGGGGCCCATGGGGGGAGATGTGGGGGTCATAGGGGGGAGGTGCGGGGGCTATTGGGGGGAGGTGAAGGAGCCATGTGGGGGAGGCATAGGGGCCATGGGGCAGGGAAGTGCAGGGGGCCACGGTGGGAAGTGTGGGGGCCATGGGGGAGGAGGTGCGGGGACCACAGGGGAGGTACAGCAAAGGGAACAGAGGACTCAGTGGCATCAGCAACTGTGTAGCTAATCCTGAGGGGACATACCATAAGCCTCCACGGTTTTCCAGTGGTCTCTTGGCCACCTCCGAGAAAAAGGTCGCTTTCACACACCACCATCTTCAGCCCACACCCTCTCGGCTGGTGTAGGGTCTCCATTCTGTCTCACTCCCATCCCCCTTCCTGCATGGGTGACTGTCCCGCCGCCCCCCCATATGCCACATGCTGTGTGGCCGAGGGGCCAGTGTCAGGGACCTGGGGCCCGCCTCTGTCTGCTGGGGCACCCACCTGTCACATGGCGCCCAGCTCTTGGGATCTTGCCATGTGCTCATCCCGGCTGGCACAGGCCCCCCTGCCCACCACTGCTGTAAGGGGGCCTGTAGGGATAGAGGAGGGGCCATCGGGCTGCAGCTTGAGGGGTCTGGATGCTTCTCTGGTGTCTGCTGAGCCCAAAGCCAGGCTGGTGCCCTTCCCTCGCCCCCCTCGGTGTGTGCACCCGCAGGAGGCCCGAGGCAGGGTTTGCCCAGGTGTCACTGAGTCCAGAGAGGCAGTCCTCAACCCCAGGCAGGCGAGGGGCTCGTCTTTTCAGTTCCTTCTGGGTCACACTCAGAGCCATAAACTGAGGGGCTGGGGGAGACTGGGCCCGGCCTCCCATGTTGCTGGGTCTGGAGGCGGGAGCCTCGTCAGGGCCCGCAGGGGCCTGCCAGGGGCCTAGGTTCCCCAGCCGTGGTTCCAGGGCCATGTCTGCAGCCACCCTGATCCCCCAGGTTCCCTTGAGTGACCTCTGGGGCCTTTGCACAGGGTGCCCTGCCTGGGTCTCCTTGGGGTGTGGCCCGGCTGCTGCCCTCACATGGCTCATGTGCGTGTGGGGTGAGGGTCCTGGCTGTGGCTGACTCCCCAGAGCTCACCGTGTCCTTCTCTCTCTTTCCTTACCCCTCTCGCTCACTGTGCTGCCCCGTGTGCTTGTGTCTGTCTGTCCCTCTCCGGCCCCTCTTGTCTCCCGCCTCTTTTGCTCTCTGCCTCTTTCCTTCCTGTTGGCCCTTCTCCCGCTCTTTCTCCATGTGTCCCCTCCCCTCTCTGTGCTGTCCCCCCTTTCTGCTTCTCCCTGCCTCTCTGTGACCTTGCCCTCCATCCTGGGGCCCTGCTCGCTGTCCTCTCTCCTCCCCCCTCGGCCCTCCTCCACTTGCACCCTGTCCCACTTCAGGCACTCGGCGCAGCAGGAGACCAACAGCACAGTGGCCGCCAGCACCAGCGCCGTGAAGCAGATGACGGAGCTCCTGCGGGGCTGCTCCCGGGTACGCTTCCTGGAGATAGGAGGGTGGGGTGGGGACATGTGGGAGGGGTGTGGGGGAGATGGATGTGCAGTGACGCTCAGGCTGGCCTACAACTCGGCCTTCACGGCCGCACGGTCAGAACTCGACGTGTTGAGTCATTCATGCAGCAGCTGTTGCTTGGGCACCCACCATTTGCCAGGGGCGGTGTGGGTGTTGGGGGTCCCTGCCCTCCTGGCCGGGCTCCTCTGAATGGAGATTGATGACACGCCCTTCCCCGTCACCCACCCAGCCACCTCCTTGTCCCTTGTGCCACCTCCTTGTGCCCTCCCTGTCACTGCAGTCGCCTCCTCACCAACCCCGTCCTCATCAGACCACAGAGGTTATCACCACGGTCATGGCTGCCACCATACCTGGCGCCACAGCCCCCTTCACAGCCCTGATCCTCCCCCCCTGCCCCCACACCCAGTCCTCTCCCCCACCACCCTGCCCCTCTCCCACCACCGAGTCCCTCCCCTATCACCCCAGCTCCTCCCCCGTTGCTGCTGTCGCCGCCTCCATTGGCCTCTCACATCCCTTCCCTTGCCCCAGTCTTTATCTGCACTCTACCCGATTCCGCAAAGATTAGAGGACACTTGTCACAAAATATTAAATACCGTTAAAACTGCAAACGTAGAGAGGAGTTTCCTTCCATAAGTAAAGTTGTATTTGTTACCTGTTCATTCACGTGTTGCCCATGGCTACTTTCCAGCTGCCAGGGCAGAGCTGAGTAGTTGCGACAGCGACTTTCTGGCCTGCAGATCCCAAAATACTGAAGTCAGCTCCTTACAGAGGAAAGCTCTGACCCCGGGTGTGTCAGATGCACTGATGTGGTGCGGCCCCAGCAGGAGGCTGGCCGCCAGTGAACAGGCGTGGAGCGCTAACACTGCTCAGCCTGGGCTGGCCGCTGAGACATGCTGGGCGCGGGGCCAGAGGCGGAAGAGTGTGCGTGTGGGTCTGTCGATAGGAGATGCCCGAGCTGCAGGGCTGCGGGCTCAGAGCTGAAGGCGGCTTGGGCTGGAGTCGGAGCTGGGGTTGCCGCCAGAAGGACGCGGGGAGATGTTGGGGATGATGGACTTGTTCCCAAAACCAGGTGGTGGTGATGGTTATACAACTGAAGCTATTCAACTATACAGTCAAAATGGATGAATTTTACTTAAAGTATAAATGATACTTTAATGAAAAATGTAGATCTAGGTCCAAAAGTTGAGTTACACTTTGGTCAAAAATATACACTGAAAGGGGCTGGCCTGGTGGCGCAGTGGTTAGGTTAGCATGTTCCGCTTTGGTGGCCCAGGGTTCAGATCCCAGGTGCGGACGTGGCACCGCTTGGCAAGCCATGCTGTGGTAGGTGTCCCACACATAAAGTAGAAGAAGATGGGCACAGATGTTAGCTCAGGGCCAGTCTTCCTCAGCAAAAAGAGGAGGATTGGCGGCAGATGTTAGCTCTGGCCTAATCTTCCTCAGCAAAAAAAATACACTGAAAGAAATGTCATAGAAACGGCAGTCAGTTTTCTGCAGACCAGGGGGCACAGAGCATGCCTGTCTTAGCTCAGGACAGAAGCCGCGGAGCTGTGCTCTGAGTGCCTGGCGCCGCTCTGCTCACGATTTAATGATCGTGGTGTGGGTTGTTGTTCAGGATGAGAGTCGGGCGCCTGGCCTGGACTCGGGTGAAAGTCAGTGCCTGTGGCTCTTCACGTGAGCAGCCTCGCCCCACAGGGCCCGGTGTCTGCAGCGGGCTGTCGTGTTGGTCTTCAGGCGAGGCCTCTGCGCCTGTAGCTCTGTTCTCTGTTCCTTTGCCCATGCCTGCCTTCATCCAGTCGCTCCTTTACCCCTTCATCCTGAGTTAGACGACGTGCCGTGCTGGCTCTCAGGCTGTGGTGACTGGCGATCCTGAGAGGTGTCTGTGTGGAGCGAGGCAGTCAGTTCACGTGGGCTGTTTTCCCAGGAAGTTGATGCCTCGTTCAGTCCGGTTCAGTGCACGCTGATTCTGGGCCCACTCTGTCTTCGACTTTGTGGGGTATGGACACTTAGATAAGATGCTGCCCTTTAAGTTGTGGAACGAGGTCGAGGCCGTAATAGCCCCCCCGCCCCCCTGGCATCAGAGGTCTACCCCAGGCCAGGCGCTGCGTGGAATCTTTGCTTCACTGTCTCCCTTAGTCTTCCTGGCACCGCAGTCGGTGTTCCTGCCTCCTTTTCACAGGGAAGGAAGCTGAGGTTTGGACAGGGTCCTGCCCAAACCACCCAGCCAGGCAGGAACTCCAGCTGCGTGTGAACTCTGGGCCTTCTGGGTTCAGAGCCCAAGTTCTCACCTCTGTGTATGCCATGAGGGCCAGGAAGTCAGAGGTTGAGCTCCTTGGGCATTCAGAGGGATCACTTTCAGCCTAATATATCCTTCCTTCTTTCCGTCCACCCTCCAGCCCTGTCTGTGCATCCACTACTTACCCACCCATCTACCCACCTATCCCACCCATCTAAGAACTCAAAAAACGTTTGTTGAACACCTGTGCTGTGCCAGATGCTGGCAGAAGGATACAAATGAGGTCCCCCTTTGAGGGTGTCACGGTCCTGTGGGAGGACAGCTTGGCCGGGCAGGGCTGGCCTTGCTCACTGCTCTCGAGGAAGAAGGGCTGTGCTGGTGCCGGGGGGCTGAGGGACTGGAGCGCTGGGGAGGGTTTGCTCAAAAGTGCTGAAGAGCTCGCCGGGCTCTTAGCTCTGTCCTGGGGCACATACGTGGGGCCGACTGCAGAAGCCTGACCCGGGTGCTGAGATGGGCTCTACGGAGCTGCAGCCACATGGAATCATCAGGTCCAGAGACCATCGAGTGCCTGTGAAACGTGTGCCTTGGAAAGCGGGTCTCACTGAAATGTGGCTAGCCTGCTGGCGCAGCCGTGGCCCGTTCTCATCTGTGGGCTTGCATGGTGGTGTGTGGTGGCAGTGGAGGAGTGGGCACCATGCCCAGGGGCCAAGTTCACACTGGAACTACACAGAACCCCCCCAGGAGGGTGGCCTTAGCCTGTGACTTGAGAATGGCCAGGGCCCTCCTGGGAGATGATGGGAGGTGCTGGGCGCAGGAGGGAGCATGAGCTTTTGTCTGTATCCTGGTCCAAGGGCCCTGGGCACCCGTGTGGCTTCATCTGTGCCAGTGCCGCATACGAGAGATGAGGGGTTGGGGCCCCTAATGGCCTGGTGGTGTTCACGCTAGATGAGAGCGGCAGTGCCAGGTCCCAGCCCTTGTTTGTTTGTTCCCTCTTTTGACAGTATGTCTTGAGCATCAGCTCTGTGCTAGGCATCATTCTGGGCCCTGGGGTACAGCGGCAAACAAGACAGTCGAGGTCTCGTTCCAGGGAGGATGGGGGCCCTGCAGAGGGGAGGGAGGGTGTGAGGGCTGAGATTTTGGTGGCAGGAGGGATGGTCTGACGGCTGCGGTTCTGACACTGGTGATGAGATGCAGTCCTGCATGTGATGAGGTGCGTGGGCTCTGGGATCAGAGGCCTGGCCTCAGGGTCTGGACCCACCACCTGTGTGGCCTTGAACAGGCCACTTAGAACTTGAGACCAAGGTCTCCTGAGCTGTCAGATGGGGATCACAACTCTTCTCACTAAGTGGGCTGTTATGGGGACCACAACTCTTCTCACTAAGTGGGCTGTTATGGGGACCACACAGGCATGTCGTGTTAGAGCTGTGCCTGGCTCAGTGGTCAGGGTTGAAGACATGTGAGATTGGGCGGTGATGGTGTCCGCAGACGCTGCCTGTGTCTGTGGAGCCTGTGCTGGCTTTTGAAGGGGTGAGGTCATGGCACTGGGTTGATGAAGGACATGGGGATGAGCCCAGTTCTAACTGCTGAGGAGGCAATGACAGCAGTGAGGGTCATGGTGGACGGAGAGGGGAGCCTGGGGAAGGTGCTGCCAGGAGGAACAGACAGTGCTAAGGGTGTCAGGAACTGAAACATGTAGAGATGGAGGGGGCTTGGGCGCAGGACAAAGCCCCAGCCGCCTGTCTCAGCCACTCTCTCTCTGCAGCAGGAGCGTCTTCAGCTGGACCGCCTGAGAACTCAGCTCTCAGATGCCATTCAGCACTATGGAGTGGTGCAAAAGGTGAGCTGCCCTCACGGGAGGGTGCTGGCCACCTGGGGTGGGCCTCGGTCTCTTGAGCACCCACTCTGGCTATCTTGTCCATGGGTTGGCCTGGTCCTGTCCTCCAGAGCAGAGGAAGGGCTGGCCTTGTGGACGTTTGACAGTCACCAGAATCCTGCTGGCACAGCCTTGGGGTGTGGGCAGTGAAGGGTGTTTACCTTTTGGTGCTGCCTATGAGGCATCCTCACGGCAGCTCCTTGGAGATGGGAAGAACAGGTGTCACCATTCTGCCAGGCGAGGAGACTGAAGCCCCTAGAGTTTATGTGCATGGAAGGAGGCTACCCAGCAGAGGGTCGGCAGAGCCTGGCCAAGCCCCCTGCTGTCCCGAGTCCTGGGGCAGCTGCGTTCTCTCTGGGAGCTGCGTTCTCTCTTGGAGCTGAAGGCTTTGCTGTCACCTGCTGTCCCACGTTCCTTATTTAGTTTACCTGACTGTTCTCCTCTCCTCCTTCCCTTTTCTCTTCTTCCTGTCTCCTCCTCTTGTACTTTTTCCAACAGAAAATTGCAGAGAAGTCCAGAGCACTGCTTCCCACAGCGCAGAGGGGTGGCAAACAGGTGAGTGCTGAGTATTTGCTGTGGTCGCTGGGCGTTGAGGGGCAATGCAGAGGCCAGGGCCCTTGGTGCTCCAGGGAAAAGCAGGAGGACCTGAGGACAGGGGCCCCTGATAAATAACCTTTGAAAAATAGGCGTTTCAGTCTTAGGTCTCTGGCCTGGGCTCGACACAGGGTAAGCTCCCAAATAATGATTGCTGACGGTTCCTCTTGCTGTGCAGGACTAACTGGTGTCAGACCAACCCTCCTGTGAGTAGAAACTGATAGAAAACCCAGAAAAGAGGATAATTGGAGTCCTAGATGAACAGGAGGGAGAGAGAATGGACAGAAACAATATCTGAAGGGGAAATGGTTGAGAATTTTCCAAAACTGTCCAAGTACTTGAAGCCACCGACTGAAGAAGCTCTGTGACAAGTAGGAGAAATTCATCCTGTTTCTTAAAGACCACCCTTAGTCGCATTGTAATAAAATGTTGAAAACAAAGACGAAGTAACTTTTTCACATCAGATTAAAGCCTGGGAAAAGTCACGTGATTTTAAAGGAGTACAGGACTGACAGCAGACTCCGTAAAGGAGACAGTGGAAGTCAGAAGGCAGTGGAAAGACGTCCTCAAAGGAAATGACTACGACACTGGGCTCTGCATCTGGGGAGGCATTTTTGTGAAATGAAAACATTTTTAGAGAAACGAAACTAAGAGAATTTGTCATCAAGAGAACTCTCTAAAGTAGAAAAAGGAAAATGATCTCAGATGGAGGCACAATAATGGAGGAAGGAATGAGGAGCACTGAGAACAGTAAAATGTGGATGCGCCTAAATTCGTGTTGACTGTTGAATAATAATAATAATGACTTGTGGGGTTCGAGATATGCAGCAAATGCAAATACCTGGACAGCATACGCAGAGCACACAAGGGATTTAAATGGTGTTAAAGTGTTGTAATGCCCTTGTGTCACCAGAGAAATGACAGAAATACTAAAGGTAGACTAATAAGCCAACGAGGCATGTTGTACTAGGTGGGTAATACCAAAAGGACAACACAGGAGTATACACTGTAAAATAAGTTAATAGAGAGGAACATACGAAGTAATAAAACAAAAACTTGGTTAATTTAAAAGAAAGCAAAATAAAAGTAAAATCAACAAAAAACAGTTGGGAAAAATAGGAAACAAATTATAAGATGGTAGATTTATAACATTTATAGTTATAGTAAAATAGACTGACCCCTCCAATTAAAAGGCCCAGATTATCAGACAAAAGGGAAAAACTATCTAGTGTTTACAAGAGGCACACGTTAAAGATAAATCCAGAAAAATGTTGAAAGTAAAAGGATGGGAAAAAAATATACTGTGAAACTACTAACCAAAAGAAAACTGGTCAGCTGTATTAATATTAGAATCAGTAGATTTCACGTGGAGAAGGTATTGCTGGGGATAAAGAGGTGTTTCATAAGGATAAAATGTTAATTCGAATGGAAGATACAATTCTAAATTTGTATGTACCCAATAATATAACCTCAAAATATGTAAAGCAAAACTGACAGTAATAAAAGGAAAAATAGTAAATCCACAATCATAGTTGGAGATTTTGACACCTCTCTCTAAATGACTGATAAAATAAACTGAAAAAAATTTAGTAAGGATATAAAAGATTTAACCAATGCTTTTAATCAATACACTTTGAACTAATGGCTATTCATGACACCATAACCAACCACAAAATATATATTTCTGTCAAATGCACATAATGCTTCTGCTGGACTATAAGGTAGGTCTCAACAGACTCCAGAGGATTGGCATAATGCTGCATGTGTTCTCTAACCAGAGTGCAATGAAACTAGAATTTGACAACGAAAACAAAATTGCCAGGGGTTGAGAATGTAAAGAATACAATTTGATGAAATAACCCATTGAATCCAAGAAGAAATCACAGTGGAAATTAGAAATAATCTTGAACTGAACAAAAATGAAAATGTAGCAAATGAAAACTTGTGGGATGCAGCTAAAGCAGTGCTTAGAGGGAAATTTATAGCTTTAAACACATTTATTAGAGGAATGTGAAAATCAGTCATCTAGTTCTTGATCTCAAGAAGCTAGAAAACAACAACAACAAATTAAATCCAAAGAAAATATACAGGAAAAAGCATAAATCAATGAAATGTAAAACACATTCACAGTAGACAAATTCAATAAAGCCAAAAGTTGGTTCTTTAGAAGGATTAATAAAATTGTGGAACCCTTACAACATTAATCAAGATACAGAGAGAAAAAACAAATTACTAGTATTAGGAATGAAAGTGGCTATATCATTACAGATCCTACTAATTAGAAAAAAAGTAATATGAAGATATTATACATAACTTTATGCCAATAAATTTGATAACTTAGATGAAGTATAAATTTTTTAGACAAAGGTAACTTACCAAGATGTATAGAAAACCTAGAAAGCCCGATATTTATTAAAGAAATGAAATCCCTAATTAAAAAGATCCCACCAAGAAAACTGCAGATCTAGATGGCTTTACTGATAAATTCTTCCCAATATTTGAGGAATAAATAATACCAGTTCACACAGACTCTTACAGAGAATATAAAGAAACGGATGACATCCCACCTCACTTGATGAGGCCTGAAATCCCTTGATTCCAGATTCTTAGAGGACATCACACGGAGGAATATGACATTCTCTCTTGGGCATACAAGCAAAAATCCTAGCCAAATATTATTAATAATAATGAGCTACATCTGGCAATATATAAAAAAAGGTAATACATCATTATAAAGTAGGCTTTATTCTAGAGATCCAAGGTTGGTTTACATTCAGAAATAATTGGTGTAATTCACCATGTTAATAGAATAAGTAAGAAAATCTACATGATCGTTTCAGTAGGTACAGAAGAGTGTTTGGTGAAATTCAGCACCCACCCAGGGGGCTCAAAACTCTCAGCAAACTAGCAATAGATAGGAGGGCCCTTGATCTGAGAGGGGTCTTCGAAAGTCCTACTGTTAGCGCCCCTCTTACTGTCTTTTCTCCTGAGAGTGAGGGCGAGACATGGAGTCTGGTGCTAGTCCTTCTGTTCCTCATTGTGCCAGAGGGCTTATTTGGTGCAGTAAGGCAAGAAGAAGAAAGAAGAGGAAGAGACTGCCTCGCAGACAGCATGGTTGTGTGACTAGAGAATGTGGGTGAATGTGCAGATAATGTAGCATTAATGCTAAGTGGCTGTGACAGGATGACTGGCGTCAGGTCGGTGTACAAGGAAACATCGTCTGTGCTGTCGGAAGACGATTTGGAAATGAAATGTGGAGAGTGGTACCGTTTGTAACAGCATCAAAACTAGGAAGAAGCGTCTATTTGGGAAAACATTAAACATTAGGAGAAATTACAGAAGATCTGAATAACGGAGGGGTATACCATGTTTATAGGGTGGAAAACTCAACACTTAGAGATGTCAGTCTCGCCGAGTGGACCTGCAGACGCAGTGCAATCCAGACACAGACCCCAGCCGGCTTTGAGCGTGTGTGGGAATGGTTAAGCTGAGTCCAAAATGTATATGGAAATCTAAAAGGCCCAAAATAGCGAAGACAGTTTTAAAGAACAAAACTGGAGGATTTACACTCCCAGGCAGCGGAACGCAGTATGAGACTGGAGGAGTTGAAGGTGTGGTATTTGTTGGAGGCTCGATGAGCAGACCATTGGGAGCAGAATCGGATCTAGATGCGGACCTGCATGCACGTGCTCACCGGGTTTGTGCAAGGTGTCCTCGTGCAGTGGGAATGGAAGGCTTGTTCTGGGCTCCATACTGGATCAGCTGGATATTTGAGTGGAGCGAATGGCAAGTACCAGTCCAACCCCCTGCCCCTCCAACCCCCTGCCCCCTGCATCTCAGGACCGGGGTCACTGATGCACCTGTGGTTTCCTCATCGAGAGAGACCGCAAGATCAGCTTCCACAGTGGGCGTGGTCCCCCGTGGCCAGCAGGTCCCTCCTGGTGGCTGACACAGGGCCCCTGACCTGCTCACACCCCGCTTGTACCGCAGCAGAGGGACCTGGTCCCTTCCCTGCAGGGGACAGATAAAGCAGTGGGTTGGCCAGGTGCTGGACGACGCACATGCTGTAGCAGAACAAAGGAGGGTGCCCTGGGTCTGAAGAGGGCCAGACGTTCCCCCACAAGGCGGAGAGGCCAGCACAGCTGTGAGGGCTCCTGCTCCTGGTGAGGAAGTGCTCCAGGCCCACGGCCCATGCTTGTGTGGCTGAGGGGGCCGGAAGACTGCATGCTCAAGACTGCCATTCCCAGCAGATCTGTTACCCCAACTCGCCCCATGTACAAAAACACCCCAGCTGGATCACAGACCTAAATCCCAAAGATAAGGCAATGACGCTTCTAGAAGACGCCATAGGAGGCTATCTTCACATCTTTATGCTAAGCAACTGTTTCTTATGCAGACAAAAAAGTACTAACTATAAAGAAAAAGACTGATAAACTTGCCTTTGTTAGAATCAGTACACCCTTAAGAGAGTGAAGAGGCAACTCTCAGAGTGAGAGAAGGTATTTGCACAATGTCTGGAAAGGACTTACATCCATAATATATAAAGATCTCTTACAAATCAATAAGGGAAAGGCAGACAGCTCAATTCAAAGACATCAAAGGGCAAAAGGCTTAGGCAGGCACATCGCAAGAGGGGACGTCCTGATGGCTCGGGAGCTGTGAGCATGTGCTCAGCGTGAGCCACTGGAAGGCAGAGTGAGCCCACAGTGCTCTCTTACTGCACACCGCCTCATGCCCACCAAAATAACTAAAAAGAACAAATCCACAGTCTGTGCCGCCAAGGCCGACTCAGCACAGATTTCTTCCAGCGCCCTGTGTGCTCCAGCTGCAGCGGCAGAGGTGTGCGTCACCATCAAGGCCAGCAGGCAGTTCCCTAGTGGCATTTCCCCACCAGGCACAGGCCCGGAGCTGCCCCTGGCCTCTGGGCCCAGTTCCTTTATTTAATTTGGGGGCCGGGGGAAAGATTACTGCAGTCATGCTGGTTCTGGCGTTCTGGGCTTGACAAGCCTCAAGAAACTTCGTCAGCCAACAGATAGTCATTTGCTAATTGGAGAAATCAGTGACCGGCCTTGGGTTACTTAACAGAGGCTGTCTTTCCCAAGCCTGTGCCTGCTTGCGTCCTGACCATGCCCTCCCCCCAGGGTCATTTTCCTGTGCCGATCCCAGGGCCTGAGAACCCTTGGGTCCCAGGGCGGGCCACACTGAAGACTGCTGTGCATCCTCCCTGAATGCTGTCGGGGTGCCACCTCTTCCCACGGGAAAGCCCTCGCGGCCCGGCTCTCCAGCAGTCACGCTGCATTGTGGGTCTCCTCACTGTGCGTCAGAACGGGACCCAAACCCCTGGCCTTGCAGGGAGGAGAAAGCCGCCTTTGTTGGCCCCTCTGGAGCTGGAAAAGCATCACACGGCCGTCCCCTCCGCTGGCCCTAGCGCCTTGCCAGCAAAGCCCTAATCCCGGCCTTGGAGCTAAAGACCCAAATTGGGCCTTTGTGAGGGGAATAAAGGGGAGCTTTCTGGTCCTCTCAGGAGAAGGGCTGTGGCGGGATCAGGGCGTCTAAGCCATCCTTCCTCCGTGTCTCTGTCATGAGCCGCTCAGGGCAGGTGGCCTGGTGCCTGTGGAGGGGAGAGCATGCAGGGGTGGCAGGCTGGCTCTCAGCCTTTGGGGAGCTTCAGCTGGAACCCCAAACTCCAGGGCGGTGACACGTCACATCCTGCGGCACTTCCTCTGGCTGGCACATCTGGTTCCTTGTGTCTGGTCGGTAGTGGTTACTGCGTGGGTGTGCCATCGGTTTTCCAGGCCCTTCTCCTATGGTAGGGACTTGAAGTTCCAAATGGGTGGGAGCGAGCGTGCTGGTGTTTCCGTCCCTGGAGCACAGGCCAGGGCACCCCGGGCGCTCTTACCACGCGGCACGATTCCATTGACAGGGAAGCTGTTAGGAGCCTGTGCGGGGCGGCCCAGGCCGACGGCATCAGAGTGGGGGCAGGTCTCTGGAGCAGGACTGAGTGCCCCGTCCTGGAGCAGGCCGCTATTGGGAGGTGGTGGACATACTGGGCGCATGCCCTCGGCGTCCCCCGGCCAGGCAGGTGTCCCATGGCCCAAAACTCACTTGCAGACAGCACAGTTCTTCCTGTTCCCCGTCTGGGGTCTCACCTCTGTGTGCACCTCCTGATGCTGGTGAGGTTGGCTGGGGCCTCACCCCTGCATCTCGTTGGGACATGTCAGCCCATTTTATGAAGTGAAGCCTGGCTTGGAGAAGTTACGGAACCTGCCGGATCACACACTGTCAGCAATGGAGTTAGCTTTTCCCATCCCCTCGCCGCTGTTGGCTGAGGGCGTGTGCGGTTAGCTGGAGAACAAGACACTGTCCCTTCTGGTGGGAGTGAGGCGTGCGCGGGCAGCTCCCGGCTGGGAGACAGGACGGTCAGAGTGTGGTGATGTGTGCTAAGTGTGCATCCTGGGCCTCGGGGTGTGGTCACTGTTCCCATCCTACAGACAGGACGCTGAGCCCCTGAGAATGTGTGCAACTCGCCCAGGCCTCCCTGCGGTGCCGGGGCTGGGCCAGGACCTGTGGTGACTCCACTCCGCAGAAGCTTGGTGGGGGCGGGGTCTGGCTCAGGGCCAGCCCCTCCCGCTCCCGCCCGCCCGCCTGGCACTGCTGGCTTCCTCCCGCCCACGCCGGGAAGGGGAGGTGATAATTGCCGCCTTGAACGAGCAGCGCTTGGCAACAGAGTTTTTAGATCTTTTCTCTTACATTCATCTATCCACGTGTTCATGTATTTAAAGGCCTGTGCGGGCACCCGGAGGAGAGGTCGCCTGTGTTAATGTGTCACGTAGGAAGGACATCGGCTTCGGAAGGAGAGCCGGGTTAGCCTGCGCTTCTCTGTGCAGCCAGACAGTCGCCCTCTTTAACCGAAAATGAGGGAGCCCGCCTTGCACAGCGGTGAGCGGAATGAGAGAGAGCGCCTGGTCCCACGCCTGGTCTGCCTGGCAGCCCCAGGGGCGGCAGTGGTGGTGGCTGTCCATACTGTTGGTCCCGTTACCACCAGGTCCTCCCACAGGGCCCCACCTGGATATGCCCCTTTCCTCCGTGCAGTCGCACACGCGGCTGTCACAGCATCACACACCCACCCTTGCTGGCTTTTGTCACAAATGTGCTGAAATTCTGACCTGTGCGATTGGTTGTTTCTGTTCCTTGCCGAGTGCAGGGCAGCGCATCCATGTGGAGCTCTTGCTGTCCATCTGCTCTGTCCCCGGCCTGCGCGGGCGTACCGTCATGGCCTCTGAAAGTGTTCAGGAGGGATGGGAGACCTTTTCCTGGGCTCCCCCTGCCACCGTGGCCCGGCCCGCAGGAGTGGGGCCTGTGGCAGGACGAACACAGTCCTGTAACTGCCACCTGCAGAGCCCTGCTCACTGGGTCTGCAGGCCCAACCAGCCCAGTGGCCCCTGAAACCCCAGAGTCCCACACGGCACCTCTGCTGGCGTCAGCCTGGCCAGCGCTCTGCCACGAGACCACCCTGAGCTCACAGTGGGTATGAAGGTGGGCTTCCTTTCAGGCAAACCTCAGGGTCCCATGATGAAAGGACAGCAGAAAACAGGAGCCTCTGCAGCTCCTCCCAGAATGGTTGCCGTGGAGAGCCCAGACACGCACAGCAGCAGACAGAGGGCTGCACACCATATCCTGGGCTGCATTTCAGCCCTGTCCCCGTGGCCCGTGCTCACAGTGGGGGCTCAGCCAGAGTTCTGGACTTGAGTTGGGTGAGTTGGGGTGGCGGCTGTACCTCGCCGTCTGTCCGTGTGCCTGGCACTGACTTGGGAGGATCCCCCAGCCCCTGCCTCCAGGACGATGCTATCTCTGGGCCGGAAGGAGGGCGTTATGGTGAGCACCCTGGACTGAACGAGGGCGCCCACCCTGGGCACAGGGGAGAAGTGAGGAGGTGCCCCATGCGCTCAGGGCATGGAATTGGCCAGGGAGGAAGCTGTTCGAGCCGCGGGCTTCTGGTGGCCCCTTCCCCACCCCCGGGCTCAGGCGGCACTGTCCTCTCTCCAGGTTTCTGCCCTGGCGCTCCTCTTTGCTAGAGTTGGAGCCAGATCCCCAGCTTCAGGTCCTGGCTCTTCCAGCCTCGGTGTCCGCATCTATAATATTGACGCGTGGCTCCTCCTTGCAGGGCTGTCGGGAGCATCAGTGACAGCTGGCTGGAAGGAGTGTGACACACGGGAGACAAGGAACACTGGCTGCCAGGCCCTCCTCCTGTGACTCTGTCTGTCCTCTCTGCCTTTTCTTGTTGCCCTTTTGATTTCACACAAACACACATGTGCATACTTTTGCACATACACACATTCACATAGCCATGACATTCACACACAAACACAACATTCACATACACACTCGCGCACATACACCCAATGTGAAGATAAGCCACTTGGACTGCGGGGAGGGTGGGGAGCCGGGAGCGCTGTTTCTGGCTTCCTATTGGGGGAGGGGCTGTGGGGTGCAGATCAGTAGTTTTCGTTCTTGCACATTCTCAGTTAAATTACGAATGTACATGTGGAGCCGTGGCTCTGGCGTAGGTCCTGTTCCTGCTCCTCCCCTCCCTCACCTCTCTGGGCGCCTGGAGTCGGGGCAGGCAGCCCCGAACCCCCACTCAGGATCTGACACTTGAGGGGAGGATGTCAGCTCACTTGTACCCAGATTGTCCCATCGGAGAGCAAATTGAGTTCATTGAAGGGGAAAGCCACCATTTTAGTGAATTTCAAAATTTGGTAAATTAATCAGTAAAGAGTAAAACAACGTGGGGCCGGCCCAGTGGTGTAGCGGTTAAGTTTGCGCGCTCTGCTTCGGTGGCCCGGGGTTCACTGGTTCAGATCCCGGGTGTGGACTTAGCACCGCTTATCAAACTGTGCTGTGGCGGCATCCCACCTATAAAATGGAGGAAGATGGGCACAGATGTTAGCTCAAGGCCAATCTTCCTCAGCAAAAAGAGGAGGATTGGCAGTGGGTGTTAGCTCAGAGCCAATCTTTCTGAAAAAAACAAAACAAAACAAAAAAAGAATGAAACAACTTGAAAAAGTCCCTCGGGCTTGGTCAGGGATCCCTGGTGTGAGTGAGGGGGGTCATGTGAGGAATACTGTCCCTGGGGGTATCTGTGCCCGCTGTGTGTCGTGTCCATACCTCATGTCCACAGCCCCTGCCTGGCAGCCACACCTCTGGCCTATGACTGGGACATAGGCTGAAGGGCAGGGGCCCAGTGGCTGCCTCTTCCTGCTCCCTGCCCACCATTTGCCCCAGCCCCCAGCACCCCATGGCCCTGCAGGGACTACCCCCCAGCGACAGGGCAGAGGCTCCAGGCCCACGGCCCCATCTGGGCTGCAGGGTCTAGGCTGCCACCTCTTCTTCCCTGCCTGAGAGCTGGACCCTGGGGGCTCGCAGATTCCCCAAGGCTCTGGGCACCTGGGAGCTGAGGCCCAGCCTTGAGGTGGAACCGGGAGGAGGACGTGGCCTGGGCCTGGTGGCAGTGAGGTGCGCTGGTGGTCACAGCTCTGTGTCTGTCATCAGCAGAGTCCCCGGGCCCCTTTTGCCGAGCTGGCTGACGATGAGAAGATCTTTAACGGGGGTGACAGCGTGTGGCAGGGCCAGGAGCAGACCCTGCTTCCTGAGATCACCGAGGAGGACCTGGAGGCCATCCGGCTGCGTGAGGAGGCCATCCTGCAGATCGAGGTGAGGACCTGGCGTGTGCGTGTGCACGTGTGCGTGTGTGCGAGTGAGCTTGCAGGTAACTCTGAGTGCTGGAAGTGCATTTACAATGCGGCAGTGGGGTGGTTTGGCAGGGACACGCTGGCTCTGTGGGTGGTGGTGGTCTGGGCCCCTGTGCGTGGTGGGGTCTGAGTCCCTGAGTGTGTGTAGCTGTGGGCACTGGGGTCCAAGCCCCCACCTGTCGCCATGGCGCGCCCCCTCCTCCCTCTGTGTCTCCATGTCTCCAGGAGGAGGAGGAGCAGCTGCTCTCCCAGGGTCTGCCAGTCCTGAGCTCCCAGGGACCAGATTTCCGGAATGAAGGTTCCCTACAGGCAGCTTCGTGTAGATAAATAGTGACTTGGGCAAGCTGGTAAACTGAGTCACTACTTAGGACCTGTTGCTCTGTCTACAACAAGTAGATCTTACGTCCTAGAAGGAGGTGGATGACCCATGGCAGGCAGGGTTCGGCCCCTGTATTTCTGGGGCCCCTCCTGCTTTGGCCTGGTGGAGGGGGGCTTGTTTCTCAGGCCCTCAGTCAGTGCCCCCACCCTGCCCACGCCCCACGTTCACTGCTCAGAGAAGAAGGCGCTGTTCCAGGCGGCCGTGGCAGGAGGCGGCGCAGAGCTGCTAGTGGAAGATGGGCCTCCCTCTTGCTGAGACCATCCAAATGGACCAAACACACACAGACACTCACACACACACACACACACACACACACACTTTTATCCCTCTCTGTGGCAGAAAAACCTGCTTTTCCCAGAGAAGCTGAGGAACAGATCCAGGAGCTGTCACCCCTGGTGACTCGGGGTACTGGGAGGCCCAAGAGGTGGGGGGACTGCTTCTTCCTTTAGCTCAAGAACTGAAAGCCTCTTAGGAAGAGCCCCCAGCAGCCCCTGGGGCACACCGTGGGCCGCTGGACCGCCTGTGCGTGGTGGGATGAAGGGGGCCGAGGAGGGGGCTGCTCTCGATTGATTTAGCGTTGTCCTGGCATCCAGGGAGTGGAAGAGCAGGTGCCTCCTTGGGCCCCATGCGTGAGGATGTGTGCAGGGAGAGGGCTGTCCCCAGGAAAGGCTGGGGGCTCCTGCATGGGCGGGGGGCTCACCCTGACAGCAGCGCTGCAGGGTAGGCCGTGGGGTTCCCAGGTGGCATCGCGGTTGGGGCTGGCCGGGGCCTTGGACAGCCTCCTGGTGGCTGACGGGCTGAGGGGGCAGACGGGCAGTCAGCAGCCCCGGGGTGGGGTTCCGAGGAGGGGAGCTTGGGCCCCATGTGAGCGGGTTTCTCAGCCATCAGGCAGCCAGGCCCTGGCTGGCTCTGGTTCTCTGGGTGGTGAATACAGGCAGGGGGCGGGCTTTATGGGGGCAGGGGGCCCCACGGGGAGGCCCCTGCAGCGCTTCAGCTGAGATGAGGGGCTGGGCCCAGTGGGGGAGGGCGCGGGGCTCTGGGCCCACTTAGGACCATGTTAACGTGAGGCTGGCCTGAGTCTGTCAGTCTTGTCTGTGGCCCTAAGAGCCAAGCTGGGAGTGAGTCAGGGACTGTGGCAGTGGCCAGCCTCGCCTCATAGCCTCGCTCTCCTCATCTGCAGCACAGCAGCTGGAGAGCGGTGACATGGACGTCAGGGGCAGAGGTTTGGAAGGCAGCGAGCGCCACAGCTCCCTGCCTCCCTCCCTCCTTCTCTCCCTGTGGTCTTTGGAAATGGGAAAAATAAACACAAATTGTCACTAGCCTTTAGAAAGCCCTCCTCCAGCACATCTTAAACGTATGTAGTGAGGTGGGGGGGCTGAAGGCCACAGAGGCCCGGCTGGGGTTCGAAGGGCAGGCAGGTGTCCCCAGGCCCCTCCAGGATGACCTAGAGGCCAACTGCTCAGGGCTCTGGGGAGTTGTCTGTGCAGAGCCACATCGGCCTGCAGGGGTCGGGCCGTGGGGCCTGGCGAGTGTTTTGGGGCCGGGGCTGTGGGAACAGCCTCGGGAAGACGTGACGGTTCACGCCTTGGCTGGTTGCAGACTTTCCATGTGGAACTGAGCCGGCTCCTGACCACCCCCCGCTGTGTCCCCCAACTCCATCCTCTCACCAGCCCCCTACCCTTCCCCCGACTCTGTCCCCTACTCCATCCCCCCACATCTCCGGGGCTTCTGGATTTGCACAGTTGTGTGCATTCACAAAGTCACGGAGGTGACACTTTGGGTCCAGTAACACTGTTTGGGGCTCTGGTCTGCTGTGAAGGACTTACTCTTATTGGGTGGGTGGTGGGGAGTGTGGATAGACGGGAAAACTGAGGCCCAGAAAATGGAATAAAGTCACAGTAGCGGGTTAACATCAATCACATCTGATTCCTTCCTGCTTCATGGCCTCCGGCAGGCATTTATAGGGTGAACGCTGGGTCCCATGTAGGACTGGCGCTGAGGGTGCAGCTGGCACTGAGGGAGGTGTTGGCTCCACTTGCTGTCCCTTTCCCTCTCGCTCCCCCTCCCCAAGTCGTCCTGTGGGAGAAGACAGAGTGCCAGGTGAGAAGGCCACGTCCTGGCTTTAGGCCCAAGGCTCCCCTAACTAGCCGGTGACCTTGAACTCACCACTTGCCTTGGTGGTTTCATCTGTGAAATGGGCGGCTCAAGGGATGGTCTCTTTCTCCAAGCCCCTGCCATCTCAGACCACCCGTGTGTCATGGCAGAGTGCGGCGGGCCCTCTGGGGGCTGTCAGGGGAGCTCATGGGCGCTTTGGCTGGCTAGCAAGGGACCAGGTGGTGAATGGGTAGGAGACTGGAGAGCAGGCGCGCCAGGCCTCCGTCAGGGGTTCTGGGCCCTTCCTCAGCTCAGGGGGCCCACTGGGACCTGGCCTGTTGGCTTCTGAGTGAGGGTGTCCTGCCCCCAGGGGATCTGTAAAGACCTCCACCCGACCTTCCTGGGCAGCCAGCCCTCTGTCAGCACAGTGTCCTTCGAGACCCTTTGGGTGCTCCCCATATGTAGGCACAACATCCTGTGTCCCTTCCCTGTCCCGGACCCCCCTGAGACGGCCCCACATCTCTCCTCCCCACCTCTGCCCCCTGGCTCCTGGGATACCCAGCGAACCTCACCTGCTGCTCAGGGGCTTCGCGCCGCAGCTCCGGCCTGGAACCCCCTCCCCAGACCTCACTGTTGCTGGCTGCCACCCTGCCCTACTCTGCTCTCCACCCGCCTCAGCACGCCCTGAGGCTCTCGTCAGTCTGGTTGCTGGCCTAGTTACTGCCTGCCTGTCCACCAGAATAGAGACCCTTCTGTCTGTTACTGGGGCCAGTCCCCAGGTCCTGCAGTAGCTGGCTTGACAGATGCTTGTTGAATGAACCTGTAAAACTGGCCAGTCCCCCATGATGATAGAGGCCTGTCCTGCACCCCTGCCCAGGGCTGCCCGCCTCCAGGCTGGGTTAGGACCCCACGAGCAGCCTCTCGCCCTCCTGCAGTCCCACTTGGGGAGTTGCTCCCGTCCGCCATGGTCCTCACCTGTCCTCCCTCGGCTCACTGTCCAGGCGGGTCTCTGGGCCCACTTTTCGGCATTGTCACTGTCCAGGGGTGTGTGGGGGCCTGGAGCCTGTGGACACAGTGGGTACCCTGCTCCTGCCCCTCTCTGGCCACTGTGTGGGGTGCCTGCACCGTGCCGGCACCTGGTGCCCCTGTGCTTTCCCTGTTCTGTCCACACACTGGTCCCTGTGCCTGTGGCCAGATGCCTGGCCCAGAAAGCTCCGTGCACTGCCCCCACCCCTTGCCTCTGTCCAGCCCTTCTCGTTGCACTCGCCCTGCAGAACTGCTTGGCCCTGGCGACGGGGGTGCCCCAGCCCAGCGCAGCCCCACAGGCCTGGCCACTCACAGGTGGCCTTTCCTGGCCTGGGCGCACGTGTCCTGGGGCCTGGTCTCAGCTGTCCTCTGTCCTGACTCCTGGCCTCCCGGGCCTGGACCATGCATGCTTTCCCAGCCTGGGCTCCATCCTGGTGTGCTGCCTGCCAGCCTGTGGCCAGGCCAGTTCCAGGCCTCTCTGGCCTCAGTTTCCCTCCTGGGAGAAGTACTGGGCCCTCTCTCAGAGGAGCTGCCGATGTGCGTGGAGTGCTAGGGAGAGTCGCGGGTCTGTGCCATGGGGCTGTGCCGGGGTTGGAGGCCCAGCGAGACAGGCACTGGCCACACCCCTCCCCCTCCCCCTCCCCGCAGGCCGCAGGCTAGGGTGGGTGGCCTCGTGAGTCCTGCGTTTCTCCATGCCATGTACCTTGGGCTTCTCTCCTTTCGTTTCCTCTAGGAGAGCAGAGTAGAGAAAGCGAAACCAGCCTTGGGCAGGAGGAGCCTGAGAGGCAGCTGGGCGGTCGAGAGCTGTGTCCCTGGGTGCTTCAGGAGCCGGCTCGCTGCACTGAGAGCAGCCGTGTGTAGCCTGTAGGCTCCCGTGGTGCAGAAGACCTCTCTGGAAAGCCCCTGCCGGCTAGAGAAGCAGGATGGGAAGGCTGTGGCAGAGGGGGGCCCCTGGAGCACTGCCAGCTGGGGCACACGCATCCCAGGCACATGCTCCCATTACGGCAGGACATCACTATGTGCTTCCTCTTGGTGGGGGCCACATGGCTGTGGCCCACATGGTCTGACCCCTGCCCTGGGCACCGCTGGCTGCTAACGTGGGACCCCGTGTCGCCGGGCCCCTCCTGGGCACACCAGGCTGAGGGGAGCTCCGCCTGTGCAGGAGCCAGGTCTTGGGGCCCCACCCACCTCATGCCAGGCACCCGGCCTTCTCTCTGGGGCTCCTCCCCCTGCCCCTGAATCTGAGCTGGCTGGTCTCTGGGCTCCCAGCCTAGGCCATCTGTCTGACACTGGTTCCAGGTGGGCAGGCCCTTGTGGGGCTCCCAACCTCCCAGGACCCAGCGTGTCAGGGTGTTGGTGCTGCTGGGGCCGGTGCTGGTGGCCTGCAGCCTCCTGGCTGGCGCACTGTCTGGGGTAGAGAGGAGAGGGAAAGGCTGTTTCATCTCATTATTGAGAGCACGAGC